GTGTGTGTGTGTGTGTGTGTGTGTGTGTGTGTGTGTGTGTGTGTGTGTGTGTGTGTGTGTGTGTGTGTGTGTGTGAGCCAGGAAGGGTCTCTCTGCTTCATGTTGTATTTTTCTCCCAAGGCCAGCCAAGTTGGCATGGCAACAAAAGGAAATAATGTGCGTGCGGGTTATTAAAACTATGTATTATTTATTATCGGGGTTTTACAGAATCCCATTACTGTATTTGAAATGCCTTTTTTCATGAATACACTGGATAGAAAACCTTCATATGCTCAGCGTACCACCTCAGGTGGAACAAGGCATGTGGCGGCGATATGAAATATTAATTCCACATGTTTTACATAATGCAAAACTACAACGACCACTTTTGAAAACCGCACATTGTAACAAGTGTCGTCGCTTGAAAATTCATCTTTCATCCAGGCAGCGCTTAAGTGCTCAACCACACAAAGCTTTTGTGGTTGGAGTCTGTAGGTTACAATAATGACAAACACACAAACCGCTGCTGCTCTGACAGGAATAGAAAGTGCAGCGTGTGGAAAGCCGACGTGAGTGAAGGATAAACAGCTTCATGAAGTGGCTGTGAATATTTGAATTCAACGTGTGCTTATCTGAACTTACCGCGGAACCTCAGCTTTGAAAGCTGGAGATGCACAGCAGATTTTTTTTTTTATTTACAGGTTTTGAAATGTGTTCAGCTATGTGTAATATTCTTCAAGCTACATACACTGCAAAAACTCACTCAAAGGATGAAACTGGAGTTTTTGCTGTATTTTTCATACAAATCCCACGAAAAGACAAACAATGTGTGAGTCCACCCTTCCTGAGGCACACAGCTTCAAGTGTATTGGTTCTTGCTGTAAATCTTTTACAAAAAACACTCACAAAAATGTGTTTTTGTGTTTTTAAAAGGCTCAATAACTCTCGTAAACAGCTGGGCTCTGTAGTTTTTAGCAGCTGTGACTCAAACAGAAGAAACGGGGCATTTGTTTGGGACTGTTTTCAGCTGTGGATGAATACACATTTAATGCAACAACGGCTGTTTCCAGCAGCAGGACGATGTGTTTAGGATTGATACACCTGCTACGTGTAAAAGAAAGCATTTTGGCTTTGAGTTAAAGTCCTGCTGTAAAATAACAATAAAACACTGAATATGTGTTTGTTACTAATGAAGAATCGACAGAGATAATTCATGATAATTTATTTCAAAATGTCTATGTTCATTTAATTCTGTACGCTTTGGATCCCCAGACGCATTGGCACAACACTTGATTTTTAAGCTCACGGTGGAGTTCAGGAAAGGAAAATAAATGATCAAAATGGGATTTTTGAAAATGCATTTCCTCCCATGTCTGTGTGTGAATGGGAGCCAGCTGAAGAATACGTTTTTTATTTTCCCTCAAATATTCATTTATGCCCCATCTCTCCGTGGCTGTGAATCTCTCTAAGTGCTGTTTTGATTGTACGAGTCGTCCGCCCGGCTGTTCTGCTTCTTGTGGGAGGGTTTCAGTAATGGTCATGCTGCCGCGTCGATAAAGTCGGTGATTTTTCTTTGAAAATGAGGACCCGTGAAAAACAGAATGCTAAAATCTCACCATCTTCACATTAGCTTCTTTATTTTTTTTTAAGAGTGACGTTGCAAAAGTTTTTTTTTTTTTTTTTCTTCGTTAAACTGGGAAATAAAACTTCTTATTGTGGTGTCAGGTACATTTATCTGGACTCTGCTGAGCCATCTGCAACATCCGCTGATGTTGCAGGAAAGTGAAAGAGACAGGTTCATTGGGTGAAAGTGGTACGCTCGATGATTATCTGACTGTATTTTCCATCATTGCCTCTTTTGATTTCCGGCTTCTGTTTAAGAACTTAACTGTGAGCTGTGAAGAACGAGACAGGTGGTTTTTTCCCCCCCTATTTTTGTGATTGGGCGCGAAAGTTTGGGTGGGTGACGGGGCTCTGAACAAATGGCTAACGACAATCGGAGCTAGGGGCCCCAAAAGCTTTGTAATGATGGACGGTGAACGTGACGAATAAAGTTTGATTGATTTCAATTCATCTGCGAGTGGACCCGTTTTGTTGTCTCTGCCATTTCTCTCTTCAATGCAGATTTATTCAGATATGCACTCACTTGAATTATTCAGTATATTAGAGCAATGCACACACACACACACACGCTCTTCTTCAGCAGCGATACATAACACCCAGCGACAGTTGCTCAATTAAGATTCTGATTCTAAATGGTTTCTATTTCCCCGAAGACCAAAACCAGACTTTTCATCCTGCAATCAGTCGTTTGAAATTACCTCCATACTAAATGAGGGAACAAATTGCTTTTCACAGGGACAAAAACAAAATGCAAAGCAGTGTGTTTGATATGACTGTGATTGAGGCAATCATAATGCTGCGTTCCCCCCCGCCTGTCTGTTTTTATGGCCTGGTGTTGCCATAGTGGCGCCCGCTGGCCTCTGGGCCAGCTGCCTCCGCACCTTTCTGTTTTTCCTCTCACGTCTTTGCTGCCTCTCTCTTTTTGTCGCCCTTACTTTTCACATAGTTGTAATCATAACAATCATTACAATAACTACAGTAGCTGAAAATAACATGACGACAACAGGAATAAAGCGGCAAAAAGAGAAAGAAAACAAACACTTGGAGTTTAATTTACTTTGTGTCATGTTTCTCCTGAAACAAACATGACTTTATGTATCTGTGAGTCTTAAGAGCACAAAGGTGTGTATACGAAAACAATGTAGAGAAAATTTAAGATAAAATCATATTGGTTCCCACTGCTCATCTTCCAAACTGATATCTCTTCTTACCTGAGCACCTTGCATCTGTGACATGAAATTCACATAAGAATGTACGTAAATACCTGGACTTTTTACATTAATTAAACATCGACTTGATCATTAGTTATTGACTTTTTAGCCCAGTTAGTGTCGTGGCTCTGCAATGTGGGTCTGTCGGTCAGTCCACTACTTTGGTCTAGACAGAAATATCTCAACAAATATTTAATCGATTGTCCTGACATTTGGTTCGCACATTCATGACCCCCTAAAAAAATGAGTCCCTGATGTTTCCTCTGACGCCATGAGTCCAGTTTAAGACAAAATACCAGCGAAACTAACGACATTCCCATCCGCCACGCTGCACTGTGTTTTGGGCTCTAATTAGCAAAATGTTAGCATCCTCACGAGCTAAACTAAGATGGAGAACATTAAACCTGATTAGCATCATCATGTTAACCTACTGATTTAAGCATTTAGCCATTACGCTGCTGTGCTTAAATACATCCTCACAGAGCTGCTATGCTTCAGACTTTTAGTCTCGTTTACAGACATACAGCAGAACTAGTTTTTCTTAACGTTTATGTGATATAATCACTGAAGTCTGAGAAGCGGGAGAGGGAATTACAAAAAGCAGGTATTCAATGTGCTTGTAAAAAACATAAACTGTCAGCAAAACATCTCTTACCGTAATGAAACAATACCTTTGAGGCAACATTGTATTTTGCTGTTCTGATCAGACTTGGCGTTATAATAGAAGTCTGAAAACCAACTAACAAAGTTCCTTATTCAAGATAAGTAAACCCTAATTCAATACAAATTCATAGACGCCCATTTTTTTTTTCTTACCCCAAAATGACAAGTTTGCATATTAAATAAATGTAGAACGAGATTTTAAGTATTGATGTAGGTGTAATCGCTCTGTTGAGGTGTTTCGTGGTGTGGTTGCTGTCCGTCCTGCAGCACATGGACGACCCATTAGAGAGAAAGTAAACCCTCCCTACACAGAAAGCAGCTAACAAGATTGTCAGAGAGAATAATAGGGTTGGCAACAAAAAGGCCACTCATCGGGATATCAGGCTACGTGCACTCACGGGATCACATTAAACTCCCTAACAACACGTAAACAAACACACTACTGTGCATCATGCACTCAAACGCATCAAATCTCTCGTTAATGGGCTCTCACACACGCACATAAACAGACACAAACAAACATTCACCCGCGATGCCAAAAAAATGAAATGCAACAAACACAAAAGAATGGATTTCGTTAATTCCATAACCGTGCGTTTATGTGTCGTGCACATGCTGCTCTGCGGAGCAATGTTCTAGGATTATGCATTTGAAAGTGCACAAGTGGGTGAATGGCCGTAGCTTAACTCAAGTGCTTTGCCCTGATTGCACTGTGATTGGGCCTAAAATGTCAAGCGCCTTGTCATCACCGAGGAGGAAGGGCATTTCAGGTCTTTATGTATTCCAGCTCTGTGACTCACGTTGTTGTTATCACAGGGGGGGGAAATCACGGCACTCGGGTCACATATGTTTACACTTGACCACCAATTCTAATAGCCACTAGT